TATATATATATATATATATATATATATATATATATATATATATATATATATATATATATATATATATATATATATATATATATATATATATATATATATATATATATATATATATATATATATATATATTGCTCAAACAATTGTATCAGGATTTTGGTGTTAAAGGCTCGGCGCTTATGTGGTTCAGATCATATTTGCTGAATCGAAAACATCACGTTTTTTTAAATAGAAACACAATCAATCAATCAATCAATCTTCGTTTAGCGTCCAGAGACCCAGTTCCCACGAGGTAGGACATTGTTTTCTTTGCCATCAATTTTTTGCGCCAAATTAAGCGATCAGTTGTATCCATTTGATTTAAATTTAGGGCCTTCAAATTAATAATTATTTGTTTTTTTCTCATCTTATCAAATATCTTACATACATTATATATAACGCACCGAAGATGAGTTATCTATAACTCGAAATAGCTATCTGAAAATTTATTTAATAAAATTTTTAAAACAATAAAATGTCTAATTTTTCTGACATTATAAACTAAAAAGAAATATAAAAAAGTTGAACAATGTTGAAAGTAGTGTTGAATTTTTGAATGTTACAAATATATTTATATATAAATACTATATATTTTATTACCGTTGAATTCTCAATTTTAAGGTTTATCTTTTATTCCATTTCGTTTCAATTTGACATTACATTTAACGCATTGATTTTATACAATTACAATTTAATATACTTTGTTTAATTACCCAAGGCTCCGACGATGGCATCTTTGCCAAAACAGCTGTATACAGATATATATATATATTTGCCAAAACAGATATATATATATATATATATATATATATATATAAAGATTACTGCGTTTTTGCCAAAAATATATAGGAGTATATTATATAGCCGAACATGTTGTGATTTTCATCAATAATTGCATTTTTGACAGTCTTAACCTTATATATATATATATATATTATATGATTTTATTATATGATCTTTGGAAAATGGCGGAAGAAATAATTGTCGAGTTTAAAAGCGATAAAAAATACGTAATTGATACGTTATTGTGTTATATTTGGTACGTTCGAAACTAGATAAATGAAAAGGAAATGAAAACTTCTCTTTGCGAATTTTTTGAAGTGACGACGTAAAAAAAAGTGCAAAGTTTTTGCATCATGAAGCCAAAACATTATCACTCAGCCTGCCGGAGTTTTTCGAACACGTTGACAAGAATAAAATGTGGGACGAATTTCTTAGTATATGTCAGTTAATTTTTGAAACTAAAGTCGAAGACAAATTTCCCTGTTTTCTCGCTGATGACTTGTGGAAAGTTACTAATTGTGACAATAGATTCGAGAAATTGTCAGTTGAACAGGTGAGGTTGCAAAAAAGTGTTATTCAAAATAGTCCGGCCGTCCTGGAATTTCTTGAAGAGCATGGCAATATACTGAGTGATGTCCAAAAAAATGTGAACAGTATCGTGTGCAGTGATGTATGCGCTGATGGAAATTCAGATGCTGAGACATCAGTCGCTAAAAATTTGTCTGACATGCTGAAGA